TGTGTATGTGTGTGTGCGTGCGGGTGTATATATGTATGTATGTACGTTGTGAAACACCACACCAATGTGCCAAGGTCTGTACAGTAAAGATTTATCTTACCTTATATTTCCGCAACCAATTTTCTGCCAAACTGTTACACTCAAGCATCGATGCAGTGTGTTAAACATGAACAACGATTAAGAAAAAACAGATACAGAAAGGAGAGAAGTTTTATAATCCCTATACACAACCACAGTCGCACAGAAACTGCTACTGCTACTCCTTGGCTCCTTTCTACAGCTGCCATTCAACCAAACCCTTGATCTCATGGCAGGTAAGATGTAACACCTAGCCTTCGCGAACAAGGGTGAAAAATCTTGGAGATCCGTGTGCAAGTTGCGCACGTTTAAGATCCCTTATTGGTAGTCTAAAATGATAAGAGAAGGTTTCAGTCAACACCCGGGCAAAATTCAACGTTTCCTACAGACCTAACATGTTTGGTGCGTCACGCGCGCTCATAATAATATGGTCTTAAGCAGTTTTGAGCGCCGTAAAACACTTACCAAAGCAAAAAAACCCAACAATATTTAACCCAGAAAAAAGCCCACTCACAAAGTACTGTTTTTCATCTTAATGTCTAGAATGTTTCGGGAAAAGCCGAGCAGAAATAGTAAATTATGTCTTCTTTCTGTATGTAAACGTTTTACACTCATAATTCATCATTGTATACGCATGCAAAAGTGACCCTTAAAACACGATATTTCAGAAGTAGGGCAACAGGTATACTGTTCATCTAAAGAATTCTCTCTAGAATCTATGATCAAAGTACTTACCGACCTTTCTCTTTCTTCCTCTCGTATTGAATTATATAACTGACAAAAACATCATTGTCAGAAAAAAAATCGTATCCCTTCCATAGCTCTTTTGAACCTCGAAAAGAAAAACAAAACTCAATAGAGGAAACGCTGTGAAGCTAAAATCTTATTACGCAGAGAACGAATAAATTTGCTTTGTGAAAAAACAAAAAAACTTACCTAGAACGATAACCAACGTCATTTTTATGGTCTTTATTTTGGCACGGGGAATAACTCCCCTGGAACTTGTTCCACTCTCCCGGAAACGGGCGTTATTGGCTGCAACGTAGACTTGACCGCCTGGGGGAGATAACCAGAACATTAGGGGATCAGGTTATTGAGCGGGAAAACGTCATGCGTGTCTACTTTGTACACAGTTATGGCTCATGGTAAATTCACTGCTAATAAAGGGGTGCAGGGGAGGG